GAGCAGGTTGTTTCTCCTGCCTCAGGTCAAGAGTGGTCAGGATGAGGCCTGGGCTTGCAGCATTATCCTGGGAGAATGGTCCTTTTTAGGGCGCTGCTAGCTTTAACCTTCCCTTTGCCCATTGAGCTGCAGTCTCTAGATTATTGAGAAAGCTCTCAACTGGGAATCCCGAAATGCTTCCCCTAGTCCTGAAAGGACAGTGGAAAAGCCCTTTCACACTGAGGACAAGTCTTCAGCATCTGCCCCTGAAAGTTCGGGTGCAGGGCTGGCTAGATTAGCAATGCCCACGCACGTTTGGATTTCACAGAGCAGCAAATGCTATAGGAACGGGGTGGGGAGTGGTGTTCATGGAACAGAAACTTACATAGGGCAGAAAACTTTTTATTTTGCCACATTAGGATATTGAAAACAAAATCCTCTCACTATCTATAATTTGTAATAGAAAAACATTTCAACACCCTACAAACCATTAAAGATCTTATCTATACATTAAGTAGAGCTCTTTATATGGAACACATTTAACTTGAAATAAGAGGTTCTTCTTTTTTAAATTTTACTTTGCTGTATTAATTGTCTATGGCTGCTGTAACAGATGATCATAAATCTAGTGGTTTAAACCACAACTGTGTATTGTCTCAAGTCCACTGGCCAGAAGTTCAGGCGCTGTGTGACCCTGTTGGGTCCTCTGCTCAGGAACAAGGTCAAAACCAAGGTTACCTGAGCTGGGTTCCTATATGGAGGCCTGACTCATTCAGTTTGTTGGCAGAATTCAGTTTCTTGCAATTGTAGGACTGAGGTTCCCATTTCTTTGCCATGTGTCCCCCCTCATCTTCAAGCCAACAAAGGTACATTAAATTTATCTCATACTTTTAATGTCTGGTTTCCCCTCTGCTGCCAGCCAGAAAAGATCTCCGCTTTTCGGGGCTTGTGGGATTACATCAAGCTACCTAGGTAATACTTTCAGGTCAGCTGATTTGTAACCTTAATTACCTTTGCAAAGGCCTGTTTGTCATATGACATAACATCCATGAGAGTAAGACCTAAGGGCAAAATTCATGGGGGCCAAACTTCTGCCTTCTACACCCAGCCTGGTAAAAACTGAGTTGGATAAACATTTTTGAACATTGAAAGATTCTTCTAGCTCAAATATTAGTTGTCAAATATTGTCAGGTTTCAGAAGTTGTCAATTTGTGAGAAACTAGGACATCATTATTAATACAGAATCTTGCATGGACTAGGTACTGGGGAAATGTTTGCTGAGCAAATAAGTTTTAATTAGTTTATTGTTGCTAATATTTTTAATGCAATTTTGATTATAAATCTTGTGGTACTGCATTATCATTGTCATTAGCTACGGATTAGAAAACAAGCTAAAATCATTATCAGAATATATTAAAATGGGAAATGATTCCGTAAATCATGATAGAAATAATTAAAACATGAACTGCTCTGTTCTGTCTGCTTGTGCTAAGGGTGGGAAGTGTTGTTTTCCATCAAGGAACAGGGACAATTAATAGAGGGCCCCAAGAAACAGTAACTTAATCTTTCTTCTTTCCTCCCTCCTCCCTCTCTTCCTATTTTTCTCTTCTTTTTTTCTTTCTCTTTCCTTCTTGGCAAAAAAAATAACCTGGCCAATTTAAAAAATTAAATTAAAAATTTTAAATGGAATTCTTTCCTGACTCTCTATAGGCTACAACCCAAACTCCCCACCCTGGCATTCAGAGTCCTCATTAGCCTTAGCCCAACCCATTTTGCCCTTGTCACTCAGTCTCAAGTGCTCCGCCCCCAGAACCCTCCCTGGTTGCTCCTGTGGTGTCCATAGGCTGGATCTGTCTGTCTCCAGTACTGAGCACTGTCTGCCATGGGGCATGGCCACCTGTGCCCCTGTCGCACTACCTGTACCAGACAGTGAGCTCCCTGAGGCCAGGAGCTGTGTTGGACTCCTTTTTCTATCCCTTTCAGCACCCACCGTGAGTCACTGTCCTGAGTCTCTCAAATAAACAAGGAAGGAGCAACAGGTACTAATCTATGCTGTCCCACATTATGGTCACTTTTAAGAAAAGGGAGGGGGAGCAGAAAGAAAGAGGAGGACAGAGGATGGAGAGGAAGACAAGAATCAGGAGAGACACGTGGAAGTAGAAAGAGAAGGGAGGAAGCAGATACAGGGAGAACATCACCGTGCTCCTTTGAGCATTCAGCAGCTTCTTACTGAGTCCTGATTGAGGCCCCTTCCAAGCTCAGGGGAGACAGCAGTGAAAACAATAATAAACATCTTTGCCCTCAGGGACTTTGCATTCTAGCTGAGAGGTCAGCCAATACACAGGCAGATGAAAAAAATAGAAAAAATGATTTCAGATAATTTTAGGACCTATATTAAGACAATAAATAGTGTGGCCTGTTAAGTGACTGGGAGAAGGGACCATTTGGGGAAGGGGGGTAGTAGTAACAACTTCACTGAGGAGGTAACAGCTATGCTGAGACCAGAATGATGATAAGTAGTGAGAACCAAGTGAATATTATTCCTTGAGAAAACAGCAAGTGCAAAGGCCCAGGGGCAAGAAGGAAATTGCTTTCATTTCAAGAAACAAAAAGGAGGCTGGTAAAGCTGTACTGGGTGAGCAGGGAGAAGAGTGGAGGGAAATCACATCAGAGTGAGAGGTAGGGCTGGATCTTGCGGCTTCTTGTACCCATTACGATAAGGAAGGTTAATATCATACCAAAATGTGTAAATACGAAGTAGTTATTGTATAGATAGACTAACAGGGCATTTTCCAACAGCCCTGCCTGAGGGTCACCTGACTGGGGGAATTTAAAGATCAGACATCTTATAATTCTCTAAAACTGGTAGAATGTGCTGGGTTTTTTGTTTTTGTTTTTCCTTTGGTGTGTGTTTGTTTTGGTTTTGGGTTTTTTTTAGAGAGAATGGAGGGTAATGAGGAAGGGGAGAGAAAGAGAGAGAAACATCGACGTGAGAGAGATACAGTGATTGGTTGCCTCCCATTTGCACCCTGACTGGGCTGGGGATCAAGTCTTCAACTGAGGTACTTGACCTTGACCAGGCCAACAGTTTGGTCCAAGGGCTCTAACCATTGAGCAAGTGGGCTAGGGCTGTGCTGGTTTCTAATTATCTTTTTTCTGTCCCCACAGAAAAATTGCCCTGAAGGACATTAACCAGTTTTGTATCTAATTTGTTATTTTTCTTTTTTTTCTTTTCTTTTTTTTTAATATATTTTATTGATTTTTAACAGAGAGGAAGGGAGAGGGATAGAGAGTTAGAAACATCGATGAGAGAGAAACATCGACCAGCCGCCTCCTGCACACCTCCCACTGGGGATGTGCCCGCAACCAAGGTACATGCCCTTGACCGGAATCGAACCTGGGACCTTTCAGTCCACAGGCCGACGCTCTATCCACTGAGCCAAACCGGTTTGGCTTGTTATTTTTCCATTCACTATAAAAACCCCTGTCTCCTAAGTTTTCTTTTGAATCCACTTTGTCATCTTGCAGATACACTTATCCATGAGTTAAATAAAAGGGTGATATGTACCCACTATTGATCTTCATGAGAATGATGTTTGTAACCTTTTGAGAATCATTCTGATGAGAGTTTGGGTTTTAAGTGCATGGAAAGCGGAAGAGTAAGAAGGACTAATTTATGTTTTACAAGGACCCACAGACTGCCAGGTGGTGAGTGGCCTTAACTGAGCCCGGGGGGAGCCAGAGTCTCTGTCCAAGGAAGAGATGACCACTGGGCTTGATGAGAGAAGTGGAGGTGGGGGGAGGTGGGAAGTGAGCCAGGCTACTGACTCCTAACATTTGTGGACATTGATCCTCGTTCATTTCTGTGGTAGATCTCCAGGATCTGCTGTAGTCGGCAATTTTCCTTTCTCCTGTGTGAGCTCCTTGGCAGGGGCTGTGTCCGACTTTGTTTCCTCAGCACCCAGCCCTGGGCTGAGCACAGGGCCGTGCTTGGCAGTGTTTGCTGAACGAATTCGTCTCTTCGGATTCATCTTCTTCTCTTCCTCCTCCTCCTGCTCCTTTTTCTGCTTTCCTTCTATATTGTGATAAAATATACATAACATAAAATATGCCTTCTTAATCATTTTAGGTGTACGTACAATTCATTGGCTTAAGTACATTCACATTGTTGTGTTACCATCACCCAAACTGAAACTGTACGAAATAAACACTAACCCTCCCATCCCACCCCACCCCCTCCCTTCAGCCCCTGGTAACCACCATTCTACTTTCTGTCTCTGTGAATTTGACTACTCTGGGTACCTCATATAAGTGGAATCACACGGTATTTGTCCTTTGGCACCTGGCTTATTTCACTTAGTGTAATGTCTTCAAGGTTTATATATGTTGTAACATATATCAGAGTTTCCTTAATTCTTAAGGCTAAATAATAGTCCATTGTATGGATATACTAGTTTGTTTGCCCACTTGTATGTTGACAGACATTTCAGTTGTTTCTACCTTTTGGCTACTGTGAATAATGCTGCTATGAACATGGGTGTACAAATATCTGTTGGAATTCTTGCTTTTGATTCTTTGGGGTATATACCTAGAGATGCTGTGCTGGATCATATAGTAATTGTGTTTAACTTTTGAGGAATTGCCATACTGTTTTCTGCAGCAGTCGCACCATTTTACATTCCCACCAGTACTGCACAAGGGTTCTAATTTCTCCATATCCTCAACAACATTTATTTTTCTGCTTTTAAAATAATAACCACCTCAAATATAAATGACCCTGGAAGGGGGAGACCTTTTGGGAGGCATTTGGGAGCTAAGATGGGGGATGCCAAGATCATACTTCATGGAGCTCATAGCACAGGCTCAGCGCTGGCTTAAAGAGAGGCCCCACCGATGAAAGAACTAAAACCCAGAAGGTTTCCCATGAGGCAGATTTGTTTGTGTGAATCCACTATTGGGCTCTTTCCCCCGGGGAAAGCAATTTCTAATTTGGACTTCTCTTTCTCTGTGTTGCTCCCCAGTGTGATAATGCGAAAGGACTGAAAGCCTTCTACGATGCAATAAAATACGGGCCAAACCACTTGATGGTGTTTGGAGGCGTCTGTCCATCTGTTACGTCCATCATCGCGGAGTCCCTCCAAGGCTGGAATCTGGTGCAGGTAAGGTCCACGCTGCCTTCGGTTGGGGGACTGTCTTGATTGGCCACCAGTCTTTTGCAGAAATGGTTCCTTGCCCAACATGGTTTCTAAGTTGCCCGGATTAGGCCCTGGCTCACCCTTTCCTAGTGATTGCACAGCCACTGGCCCCACCTCTTGGCCTGACCTTCTGGCCCATCCTGGCATGGCCACCTCTGTGTGCTTGAAATCTTTCAGTGACTCCCTAGCCTTACTCTCAGGGCCATCAGCATCCAGCCAATCTGTCTGTCAAGTGTCATCTGTCCCTGCCATATAGTCCATGCCTCCGTCCCCCCAGACAACTCACCTTTCAGATGCACCCTGGACCTTCAGGCCTCAGGGCCCTGCTCTCTCTTTCCCCTTAACCAGATTGTCCTTTACCAAACTTCCCTCTCCCAACTGAAGTTCTCTTGTCTACTAAGCCTGCCTTTCTCCTCAGGTAAGCCTTTCCTGGGGCTACAGGCCAGTTGTTTACTCTTTATACTGGCAAATGTTATGCACGGTCGAAAGTTCCACCAGTGAGTGTGTATAGTCTGTTGTAGGCAGCATTCACCGGTGCTAGCTGTTATTTGGAGTGTGAAAGGAGAGCTTAGAAAGATGTGACCATCTGGGATGAATGGTTGCCTATGCACATGTTTTACTTATTTGCTTCATCCATCCATCACCCATCCATCCATCACCCATCCATCCATCTGTTCATCCATCCATCATCCATTACTCCATCATCCACCCAACAAATATAATGGGCAACTTACTGTGTACCTAGAATTTTGGTAGACACTGGAGATGTAGTGCAAACAGGACAGACATTGTCTCTACCCTTTGGGAGCCTACATTCTAGGAGAGATGCAGGCAGTAAGCAAATAAACAAATAATAATACTAAGAGCTAACACTTGTATAATATATATGTCATGCTCACTACATACCAGACACTGTTCTGAGCACTTACATGCATTAACTCATTTAATCCTTATAACTGCTCCATTATCATCCCCATTTCATAGATAAGGAAACTGAAGTACACAACGCTAAGTAATTTGTCAGAAAATCCACAGCTCATAAGTAATAGAGCCATGATTTAAACTTAGGCAATCTGGCCCATGAGGTAAGTCTATGGTAAGGAAACTGATAGACATAAATAGGGTGAGGAGATGAATAGTGACTGCCTTGGGGCAGTCAGAAAAATCTTCTTGGAGCAGGTGACATTTGAGCTGAGACCTGAAGCATGAGGAGGAACTGATTGGGTGAAGAGCATCCATGTTTACAGATAGAATAGCAAATGTAGAACCCCTATGATGGGGAAGAACCTGGCGTGTTCAGGGAACAGAAAAGAGGGCAGTGGGGCTGGAGCAAGGTGAGTGGGTTGTCGGGTGGTGAGAGTGAGAATGAAGAGGCGGGCAGGAGCTGGACCACAGGAGGATCTGGTTTCACTCTGCTTGCTTGAATTGACTGAAGAAGTCTCTGAGTCTGGCCCTGCGTGCCTAGGGTGCTGGGGGTAGAGTGGCAGTGGGAGCCAGCCATGACAGAGGTGCGATGAGGGAGGGTGAGGTCCCAGGGAAGGACCACCCACTCAGTCCAGGGACAAGGAAGGTTTCTGAGGAAAGTGATGCTGAGCTGACTGTGAAGGAGGAGAGGGTGTTGGAAAGCTGGAGACATGGAGGAGAGCCCTGCTGGCAGAGGAAACTGGGTGTGCAAAAGCGGGTGGTGGGTGTGTGTGGGCTTGGGCAGTGTGAGTCACGTGCTGTGGCCAGAGAAGGCCACGCTGAATGTGGGCGGGTGCAACAGGAGATGAGGCCTGAAAAGCAGCTCTGCACGTGACAGTGCAAACCTAACCACGTAACTGGAGCCAGCACAGCGCAGTGAGCCCTGGGAGCCTTGGCTTCTGGCCCCGAGGTGCCTATGCACAGCCTTGAGACCCTGGTCAAGTCACTTCCCTTCTCTGTACTTGAGCTTCCTTTCCTGAATGCTGAGGAGCTCCCAAAACACCCTGCTGTCACTCTGAGCTGCCACTCTGAGTCTGTCATCTGTGAAGTC